GAAATTCTATATCGTTAAAATCAGCCGTCGCATAGGAAAGTTTGAATAAAAATGCCCCATCGTTAATGTGTTAAACTGATACAGTCCGATTTTGAAGTTCTTCACAATTGTCTCAAAGTACTTAAACCTATTTTATAAGAATTATTTCCTAGTCTCTCCGTGCATGTTGTTCGCTTTCGCTCGTCCTCTCTAAATGATAATTAATTGTCCGACGCTTATCCAATGATAATATCAACATCCCTATGAAACAGATACACGCATTGCTAATATCGATTCACCTCTGCAGATTCCGCGAGAGAAAGGCACAATAGCATCGATACTTACACACATTCACAACATCGAACCCTTGCCAAACTTGAATACACTCGAGATTACAGTGCACGCGACTCTTGTTTCCGGATTGAAATTCAAATGTTACTCGATTCCAGTTCGTACGAATCGAATCGAAATTTCGATATCTCGCGCCAGAGTTCCCTGTTATCGATCACAATAAAAATAAGTTAAAATTCTGAAATATCTTACCGACGAGAGGTGGTGCGTAATCGTTGCTAGAATATACTCGTGTCACTCCGGCGATGGATAAAAACCAACGTTTCAGTGTTCGATATCACAACCGGTGATTATTGACAATTAACAACGAGACCGGAACACAACGTGCCTGCAACACCGTCCGGCAGTGTCCTGCGAACGATGCGAACTAACGTACTAAACGAGCGAGTGCAAACATTTATGCCATGCTCCGTTACACCACGAGCTACGGTCAAATCAAATATCCCAGGTCCGTGGTTATACGCATTCCATGCTGCTGCAGTCGTCTAGTATCGATCAAGGTAATACTTTTTCTTTGGTCCGTACGTTCTAAGTGTGCTGTCTGTTCCACAATGAACGCTCGTACGTGTGCGATCGACCGAGTCCTGTCGCCACAGGCTTCTACGAGGGTGGTCCCGGAAGTGCCCGGCCTGCAGTATAGATGGCGGTTATTGTTTTGAAAAAAAATGACCACGGTCGAAAGTACCAACCTTACAAAGCTTAAAGTTCCAAGTGTTCGAGGACGCTGCATTCTTTAGTGTTTGTTTGACAGTCGTTAATAGCGAACGCTTTCAGTAAATTTGTAAACGTGGCAAGAAAAGTTGGTCATCGCTATGCGATACGATATTTTCATTCGAAAGGTCTCGGTTCGACTAATATCAAAATCGAGCTAAATTCGATCTAGGGGAGTTTGCGCCTTCGTTTGCAACAGTAAGATATTGGGTGGCAGAATTTAAACAGGGCCGTACTACGAGCTGCCGAGGCGAACACCGCAGTGGTCTAGCGAATTAAGTGACCACACCGGAAATGATGAAGAATGGATAGGCATTTATATTATATATTAAATATAATATAAATACAATATATATATATATATATATATATATATATATATATATATATATATATATATAATATATATTATATAAAATTATATATATATATATATATATATATAATTTTATATAATATATTTTATATAAATAAAAAATTATATAAAATTTATATATTTATATAAATGATAAATAAAATTTATCATTTATATAAAAATAAATGATAGGCATTTCAAAAAGTGCTGTACATCGCATATCGACTGAAAATTTGGATACGAGGAAGCTGTGCGCAAGATGGGTGTCGCGCTTGCTCAAAATGTAACAAAAACAGCGTCGCGAGGATGTTTGAGTCGAGTGTTTGGCGATAGCCAAAATCCAGGAGTTAAAGTTCGAATTAATCCCTCGCGCACCCTATTCGCCAGGTTTAGCCCTCTCGGATTATTTTCACTTTCCAAACTGAAAAAATGGCTCGGTCCAATAACAAAGAGGCGGAATCTTAATGGCTATTTCGAGGAGCTCGATGGTTCTCGCTATAAACAGGGTATCGAAGCTGTTGAACACCGCTGGGAAAAACTGTACCCAGCTAAAAGTAGATTGTGTTGAAAAATAAAGATATTTGTTCCGAAGTTTCTTGTGTTTTCGGGTACTTTTGGGACCGCCCTCGTTTCGTGACGCGCGAAGTCACGTGAGATTTTCCGGTGAACTACCGAGAGAATTTTCATTATAAAAAAAATGTTTATTATTCGTAGCTGAGGTGGCGCGTGGTACATACATGAGGTTTCCGACTACAACAAGTCCTATAATTTCACGCAATACTATTTACAGACATGGTTCGTGTTGCAATTATTAATATCTAGTATTAATTAACATAAGCCAACGTTACGGCTAAATTATTACCCATTACACTATGATCTATGATTAATGTTCGCGCCGTGTCCACGCGGATCTTTTACAAACTGTAAATTGTCTCTCGCGTGTTCCTGTATAGTGCAGTTCCCGTGAATTGGACTCGCTCTTTTACGTATTACTATTCCCGTAGGCAATTTTCCTCGGTCGACCTGTCACGTCGGTGCTTCACAGTTTTCTACAGAACGCCTAACGCTTGAGACAGCATCCCGATAACCACGCGTGAGATTATCGTTACGACGTTAGTAATCAGCAAACTACACTTACAGTTACAGTAGACGCGTGCGCTTAAAGAACGCTTCGATAAAAAGTATCATAAAGCGAGCACTGATCGAAAGTTATTAAAAGAGAAGAGAAAGTACAAAGACAAAAAACGTGGATGGTAATAAATATTACGCCCGTGAACATCGGAACGTAGTATGTCTGTATAAAAATATCCGTGTTGATTAGTACCTAGAAAAATGGTGGCTCTTACGAACGATTAAGGCACTTTATAAGAGCGTTCTTTGTTGCTAGGACTCACACAGGGCTCACGAATTCGAATTGTTTATATATATATATTTTTGCGTTTTACTGTTTTACCGATCACGCTAATCGCTTATTTGAGCAACACGAGGAAAAGAAGAGAGACGTAGAATTAGATAATTAATGGACGCTTTAATCGCTGACGTTTTTTCACTATTCTATACGCGACAAGAAAGCTTCGCTCGCGGAGGAAGAATACAATTTTC